GCAGCAGTCTGTTGATACGCGTCACACCATTCCTCGCCATCCAAGAGGCTTTCGATCTGTCGTGCAAGTTCTTGCTGTTCCGCCATCCCTTCTGGAAACATACGTAAGACATGCTGCCCAAACCATCACAGCTGTAACTTCTCAATCTGAAGAAGCAGCGGCTATACACCAAGCTTCTCGTGAATATCTGTATTCGGAATCATGTCGAGACGGGTAAGGCCAGCGATACGTCTCAGAATGTCCATTTCAGCCGCTCATACCCGGGATCGAAGTTTATCACCCATAGAAAACAACTTATGACCTAGGTAAGCATGGTGGATTAAGATAGACGTGAATATCGAAAGTTTAGTTTCCAGACTCAGGTCTGCATTAATCACAGTGGGTCGGGCTAATATACGCAGAACGCTCCTGGCTACTCCAATTCACCGGTCGATCTCTTCCTCAAATTTTCCATCGCTAGTAAATACGACTCCGAGGTACTTGAACTTCTCCACCTGTTTTTGAACAAAGCAACGTACAGGAGAACGAGAAAGCACTAGGCTTTTCGTTTTAGATGCGCTTACACGCATGCCGGCCACGTAGCTCGGCTGCAAACCTATAGATCAGTAAGATGCCAGTAAAACAAGGTCGTCTGCAACAGCAAACTTCTCGTCTTGAAATCACCTATACCGATTCGCTCATTGCCTTTGCTGCGCCTGACTATTCTATCGATGTACAACACAAAATGAAGAGGGTACAAAGCACAGCCTTGACAAAGATGAGTGCCAACGTTGAATAATTTCGACTTAACACGACTAATTCGGACGCTGCAACTGCTATCAACATATAGAGACTGGACGGCTCGTAGCAACTGGCTAACAATCCCATAAGTTTGCAGGCACGCTCGTAGATTTTTGCGCTGGCTTCGGCATAGGCTTTTTTCACGTCCAAAACATAAAAGCACATATAAACTGGATGAGCGATCTCCAATGATTTCTCAACAATTTGGTGCATGGCGAATATCTGGTCAAATGTGCTTCAGCCAGATAGAATGCCACACGGCTCTTGTATTTTGAAGTCTTATTTCGCGGACCTCCTTTCTAGCAGTTTATCGTACACTTTCCTCGAGAGATTCAACAACGTAATGCCCCGTAGCACACTCTGTGGTGTCCATTCATTAACAGGGGTATTACAACTGCCGTTCACCGTCCGCTCGTGTCTTCCTCTTAGCCACTGCGGTATGAAAATCACTTCACATAACTTGTCAATTACACATTTAGGTACGGTATCCGCCAGTATGAAACTTCATCATTGATTCTTCAATTTAATTCAAACAAGTGATTACAGGAAAATAAGCAAAGAAGATCGCTGAAACTGAAGAAAAGACCAAACAGTCTACTAAAATTTGAATATCAGTATCGTTGAGCCTACAGCGATGAAAGTCAATGACACCGTTCTTTCTTCATAAAACTTACGGTACGTACTGATCTTGATTACGGTTCAATAAGCTTAGAATCGCATATTTTTTAAGGCAATACGTACAACATGGTGATTACTAACTTGCAGTAAGCTGCTTAACTGCAGCAAAGCAACGTTCAGGAAATCAAAAAATACATTTGGATTAGTCCTGTCGAAGAAGTAAAGAATTAGTAGCTATATATATCAAAACAGCAAATGAAATTGGCAGACTGAACTAAATTTAAATTACCTAAATGCATAAATGAAATATATACTACACTAAACATACAATAAACGAAAGATGACTACTTTTGAGAGTTTTCTTTCATGCTCGGTCGACTTCGACTGTTGTTGAGATATAAGAGTATCGGTCAACTTTTGAATCTGTTGCAGAATTCCCGGATCAAGATCCCCATGCTCTTTAGGAAGCGAGTCTGATTCGTCTGACATCATCATATCTTTAATCTCTGGGCTTTTGTCTTCTTTATTGGGACTCTATAACGAAAATGTACATAATCAAAATAAATTAATCGAAATGACCAACCTGTTCACTGGTAACGATCTTCAGTTCAGATGAAGGGGCTTCGGGTTTTTGGTTCTTTTCGCCATTGCTCATATCACCGATGTCTAAAAATGAGAATCGCTATTTACAGAAAAATCAAAGGATGGCTTTTATAAATACCAAGTCCTAACTCAAGCGCAAGAGAAATCACCGGACGAAGCGCCTCTTCTGGAAAAACGTTGTTTTTCAGCCAAAGTTGTAAAACTCGAATTACAGTACCCTGAATATGTCTTTAAAACAATTCATGTCATCCAAATTTTAAATACCTTATTTTCTTCTGGGCACTTAAAAAGATTCTGAAAAGTAACTGTAATATTCTTCGAAAATCTGGGACCAAAAACATCCTTGGATGGTCCAAACTGATGCCTCGACTGACGAACGATCGAATCGATCACGTAAAGACCGGGTACCTTGTATTCAGGTCGACACTAAAAATTGAAAGTAAAAGTTAAATTTGCATTTCCGTTATACAACAGCAAAAAGAGCTAAACTTGAAGAAAATCTGACAAATAAACAGAGATGGATGGAAAGACGAAGGAAAGACTAACAGAATGTATCTTACCCAATATTTTCCTAATTAACTCCGCCTGTGATCTCTAACAGTCTAGAAGCATATAAAAAATTTTCAAGGAAGCTTAAGCGCTCATTTTGAGAAGTTACTCCATTCTCCCTTGTAAAACGGATGAGCTCCTGACAACAGTGATGATATTTTCTGCGAACAATAGGTAAGCAAATCAAACACCATATTCTACGTTACAAGTTGTGGTCCGCTGTTTCAAAAGCTACGGATTTCATTCACAGAAACTTTTAATCGATTATTCTATTGTCGTTCAATTCGATTTTTTAGTTTCTATTCTTCAAACAAAGCACGTCATTATACAAAAAATACATAAAGTTTTTTTAAAAAAACTGTGGTGTCAGGCTGTTCAAAATCTCTTCCACCGATTCTGCAGTTCTTCTTCATTGTACTTCGGTTGCCTAAAGATCTGGATGTGAGTGGTATCACAGATCTTCGAAGCGAATTGGTGTCATATATGCACTGGATGCATTCGATCACGGCACAAGAACATTAGTATTATGCAGAGCAATAGTTTTTGGTGCATGATATCGGCGGAATCAACAAAGATTGCTACAACACGAATAACCGTTTTTAGCAAAAGTTATTATTACCTATCTCACACAAAGGAAGAAAACAAAGTGTGCAATAACTGGAATGCCTGCCTTGCCTCTTGAATGCCCATTCCCTACCGTAAATAATATTCATCGATATGGCTTAGAAGGTTGAAAGATGGGCTAACCCGCAGGGATTCGAGTCGACATTCTACCGACCAAACCATTCTGACAATTTTTACTTTCACCGTGAATCCATCCACCTCACATTCAAAACCTGTCATATACATCTTGATTCTCCATAGGGTAACGTTTGCCCATGTATGGATATATGACAGATTCTTCGCAAGAAGATTCACATTATGAATTTTTCCATGTTTCAGCTTACTTGTGTAACAACCAAACAAGATTTCAAAATGTGGAGTCCTCGCTGAATCCTGCCTTACATTATGGAGTTGCAGAATTTATCATGCCCTACCGTCCGTTGATAGGTACTGCTCTGAAGATCACACAAATATCGGAATGTGACAATTTTGTAGTTTTTGGAAATAAAGTCGTCTTTTCCTTCGTCGCCACAATATACGAACGTTGGTGCGCAATGATTTTCTTGTATCTTCTCTAGTCGACGTGCCTTGTTCATATCCAAGAAAGTAGTTCAGCCATGTGGTGGTTATAGAACTTCAGGTAAATAACTCTTATCAGCATATTAATGAAGACATTTATCTTATTTTGGCACTACCTCACGGACATCCCCCCTTACACCACGGCATCCCTTAGTTTCACGTCTTAATACTAACAAAGTCTTGCTTCTTGCTGACTGGAGTACGAGTTGTTAGGTCGGCAAATCATCGCACTCATAATCAAGAGGTCCCGAATTCGAGGTTTGGTAATCCTTCGAACGTGGAGAAACGATTAGCAATTCATAGGAAAGGTAACAAGCTACACGTTATTTAGTCACATAACTGTTGGCATTGCCTTTAGAATAACACAACTGGATAACTGCATATAAACGAAGATAAGCAGCGAACCATAAGCTCAAAAAAAAGTGCGAAAATGATGCCCATTAAGGTCAAGCAAGTGTAAAGCAAATCCACCTTTCTACAGTAAACAATTTTACTTTTTCTCCCTATCACGGAAACAGATATTGACGATTTCTAGGTAAAGGAAGATGCGAAATTTTCGGTGGCTTGAGAACTTCGCATGGCACGATCTCCAAGAAAAAAATCATTGTTATTTGCACTCATTTGTTTGCTTCTGTGTTCAAATGAATCAAGTTTTTAGCTTCCTGCAAATCGTTCACAAAAAAACCTGTGAAAAAAGCCCAAACTGGAACATTTGTAAAAAGGTGGCAAGTAGTCCCTTGCAATGTGATGCTGACATCATCATATTTAACCATTCTGATATGATTGCAACAGCTGATATGTTCAAATTTACTCCCGCGTATGTTGAAATGAAGTACGATGCAAAAAAATTATTTACACACAACGCAATGAATATGGCTTATCAGGTGATAGATAAATCTCGATGCTTCGAATCGAATCTCACAGACTTTCTTCAAAGTTAGATTCATAGTTATTATTAAGTTAGATAGAAATGAACCAATTTTACTGTATTCACAATGACGAGAAAGCATGAAGAAACTACTCCGTATGCCGCAATTCAGCTACATGAAATATTCTCAACAATCTCGAGGTTGAATGAGTTTCGGAACAAACAGGCAAAAAACACAAATAAATAGGCAGAGCCAAGATTAAATAATTATGATCTCAAAGTTGCAGAAATCTTTTATGAGATGACATTGTATAAGATGTTATTTTTTACAGATCTCTCCAACCTGTTGCTTCACACTCAATCCGTACTCAGGAAATGAAATCAGATAAGGCAAATTAACGCTAAGCTATCAGCTGTAATTTTGATCCTGAATAAGGACAAGTTTTTACTTCGATTTCTCAACAAAAAAGTTTACGGTTGAACAGCATAGAACGCCCAGCTGGTTGGACTGCTTTAAAACTGCTCATAGTACAAGAATGTTGATTACCGCAAAATTTACCCTTGCAATAGGCGATTACCATTGACTAAAGTTCTGCACACAAAAGTTAGAGAAAAATAGGCAATTTGTACTCCGGGACGTAAAGCAGATTTCTGTCGAACTGACAACGACCAAGATCAGTGACACTGATCAACAGGATATTGATCGTATACGTATCAGTAATTATGCTTAAAGGCTTACAAGAGAGAAATAAATAGTAGTCGTTAAGGGAAAAGGGAGGCCATTTAAAGTAGTATCAGTTTTCTCACTTCCATTATCCCAAAATTTCGCCCGAAGAGACAGCGAACGTCTTGTCCAGGACTTTCCTCAAGACTAATAGGGGGCTTGCCTTATTGAATGTATTTTATAATGGTGAACCCTAAAATTCTAAACATGTTGAGCATTTTGAAAATTATTCATTGCCTTGCGGGGAGCATTTAGCAAATTATGTAATTTTATTTGTGACAACGAATACGGGACACCGGATGATACAATGCTCTACAGCTTGAATTTCACTAGTAAGAAGACGAAAATTCTTCTAACTCTGTGTGCATTTTGTAAATCACATATGTCGCGGTTCTGGGTCCAGCTTAATGTCATCCAACTTTTGTATACGAACGGGAAGGTAGGCAATTAGACTGGGATAAAACATAGTGTACGGTTTTAACTCAGTATATGTTCCTCAGATTTCGCAGACTATTCCAAATCCACAGCGGACACAGCATACTGTGAAAAAAAGTTCGACTCTGATGAGAAGAAAAGGAAATAAACCGGAAATGCACCGCAAATAACGAATGCAATAGAGTCATGAGTAAGCCGTTATGATGACTCAAAGACGGAATCGAAATGCGGCAGCGATAACAGACTCATGGAACTGTTTAAAACGGTCGCGCAGATGACAAGAAAATGAAGAAATTCACGTCAGAATTTTACAACGGACGATACAGAGATGAAGTAACTCGCCATGCCACGATTACCGTATCACGCAGTGCATGAGCAAAAAAATTAACAAGCCCTCTGGTAATAAAATCTAGAAAAGCACACAACCGCAACAAAACCATATTAAGCTTTCTGGTCAAGCGGTAACGAAGTAGTTTACATAGTCATAAGGAAGAAAACGAAAAGGACTCACTTTCTGAATAAACTTTTCGACGCTCATCACGACGTGTTTGTAGAACTTGATGGCTTTGATGGCAGCCTTAGTGATCAACACCATCTTTGCCTTGCTTACCGGAGGCTTGTTCTCGTACAAGGAGACGAGCTACAAATGAGTTGATCGAAACGAATGTATATCTTTCGAGCATGGGAAAACATACCTCTGCATTAAAGTTTTTGACCGGTTCCAATTCCATCAGGAATCGTCGCAAAACTTTAATTTCTGAAAAACTTTAAATATCAGGACGACTGTCAAGAGATCGTTTTCAATGCACGACAATGATCATCGAAAATATCTTTATGGGGTACCCGACGACGACAACAACCGATAAACATTCACAGCCAGCTAAAAATCATTGAAGCAACAAAGTACTATACATGAAGCAAAATGTCGCTGCATATTTTATAACGCAAATACTGAAGACTACTTTGCCATTTAAATGTATTCTTAATTTGTCGTTTTGAAACACAGTAATAAAAGATCATTAAGTTCATTTTTAACGTGTGCATAAGTATACGAGAATCGTCCACTAAATTACAGTACATTTTGCCATTTCACTTAAAAATACCTAAGCTCCAAACTATTTAAGATGCCATGTTTTGATAAGTTTTGAATGCTACGAAGCACGCGTTTCTAAAAAAAATTCATACGTCATTTGTTGAAATGAACATGTAGCTTTATTTTTAGAACTAAAATAAAATATATCTGATTGGAGACTACGCGACCATACCCATGCAAAACCCGCAACGATTCTATACCTTATTGTGATAAACCACCTGTTGGCAATGCCAAGCTTGACGTATAATTCTCCATTCGCTGGGACGACGAGCCAAATGAGAACCGAAATTGCGGCTTGAGATAAAAAATGCTACGGGGCAATTATGTCAGATTGAATATATGGAAAATTAGTCGGTTAATCTTAGAATGTCTCTTTTCTTCACTTTCATTATTGGGCCATTCTGGCGCCCATTTTTTCATGATATTGGCGGTGCGATGCTGATCTCCGTTTATCTGTTATCAGGCAGGAATGCTTTGTATTTTTAAATGCAGATTCTGAACCAGCAAAAGTCTACGCAGAGTCTGTGGAAAGCGTCTAGCCTAGCATCCTGTTTCTTTCCCACGGAGTGGTATTCATTTATCAACCTCGGTAAAACGAAGTACTAGTGACCTCGACCGGGGCTTAAATCCTGGAACTACCGGTTCTGAGTTCGCTGATTTACGGATTGAGCAACCCAGCTTTGAAGCAACATGTGATAAATTCCTTGTTCAAGGAAATTCACGAGAAAAGGTTCCCTCGGCCAGAATAGAACCCTGTACCTCTTGTTATCGAAGTAGAACCTCTGGATAACTGTGCCAAAGCGCCTAAAGTATAAAAATTATGTAAAATACTTTAAATACTGGACCGCCAATGATTTAGTAGCATTAACCGAGCTGCGTTGTGTATTATCCCTTTCAGTCTATCCATTTTGCTACTTATTCTTCCGCTACTTTGCTGCTATTTTTTTCTTCAGTTGCTTTCTTAGAATAATCTTGCCTTCTTGCCGCAGCATGACATAACTTTGAACCATCCTATGTTCTATCACCAATGATGTCTGGTATACGCTCCATTACGCTCCATTCATGAACCGTTGTCAAACATATATGTCTTTGTGACAATACTCCATTTCTTGCTTACACTAGGATGCCCTCTGTATAAGAAAGGAATCCAATCACAGTGAAATTCATTGGAGAAAGTGTACCATCGTAATTCCACTTGTGATGAAACCAAAATCTGAGAAATTGGAGGAAAACTCTAAAGTAGAACGAACATATGAATTGCATAGGCAGATCTGACGACAGAGGTGGCTGAAAATAGCAGCATTTATAACCGTGTCTTTCAATGTTAGTCCAGCAAAATAATTCAAAAGGAAGCAAACTGGTGAAAAAGCAAAATAATGTAAACCGTCATATAGGAACTAACAGGCAGCAAAATAAATGGACGAAAAGAGATGCATTCGGTTAGCTCGTCGTGGTTACTGTTGCTATACCGTCAATACTTCCAGTGCTTAAACGTTTTTATTTTTAAATTAATGATGACTTTCAATGAGCCAATTAAGCTTGCGAAAACGAATTTCAGCCGGAAAATGCAAGCCCTATATAGCACAGCTATTTACCTCGCACTTTTGACATGACCAAGCAAAAATACCATGCTGTTCCTATTATCCGCCCACCAACAACCCAATACAATGCTTTTCGGAAGGTTACACTGAAATATAATGGAGTGAATTCCTTCCTTAAGGAAATCAGCAGTTAACATAAAAATTTGAAAGAAGGAATGCATTTCAACTCGTACTATAGATTACAAGACAAACTACTGCAATCGGCTGGGAATTGCTAGCAAACAATATGTGTAATATGGTCACGAGGCTTTACTTGCGCGCACATACAAATGGCAAAAACTGCCTACACCAGATATAATCTCCATCTTCATCTTCCATAGCCGCTTCTACCGACGGGGCGCTGAGGCAGACTCGTCATACAGTGTTTTCAACGTTGCCCGTGCTGTGCTAGGGTCTCAGCTTCGGCAGAGTACTACTGGAATCTGGAAGAAACTCCTTCGATTAATTGGCAACAGATTAACCATGGCTGTCCCCTGAGTCCTCTGCCCGTCGGACTGCCAAGAAACAGTAGCTTAATACTCCGTTCTGGAGGCATTCGTAACACATGGCCACTCCATGGCAGTTATGAGTCCTCAATCTGCAGTTTCAGAGGCTGTACACCAAGGATCTCCTGCATGTCTGTAATCCGGAGCATGTCGAGACGCGGGAAGCTAGCAACTAACCACAAAAGGCCCATTACAAGAGCTTCAATAGGGATTCGAAACTCTTCAGTTATGGTCCACGACTTATGCGTAGGTAATCATGGAGATAAAGATCGACTTGAATACCGATAGCTTAGTTTTAAGACCGCGCACTGCTTTCGTCACAATCGATCAGACTAGTTCACCCGGATCACCCAAAATGCCATCGGTTACTCAATTCGACCGTCGACCTCTTCCTCAAATTTTCCATCACTAGTCAGCACGACTCCCATGCACTTGAACTTCTTCACCTGCTCCAATGCCTCTTGGTTAATCTAAGGACAGCAAATGGCAGGAAAACTAGAGAGCGCAAACCATGTCACTTTAGATCCGTTCACACTCATGCCGGTCACGCTTCACTCAGCCGAAATCCTTCTTAGAGAGCACTGCAGATCAGTTTCACAAGAAACCAGTAAATAAGGTCCTCTGCAACTAGCAATCTTCTCGTTTTCACATCTCCTACACCGATATAATCACGCCTTGGCTGCTCCTGACTATTCTACCCATGTACAACACAAACAGGATAGGGACAGTACGCAGATTTGGCGGAGATCAATGCCAACGCTGAAATGTTTCGACTTAACGCCATTTACAATGACACAGCACCCGCTATCATAATACAGTGATTGGATGGCCCTCAACAGTTGGACAACTATCTCGTTTCTTCGTTGGAATGACCAACGACGAGATCCGGTCATAGGCATTTACTAGGTACACTAAACATTTGTGCAACGGACGATTTCTCGACAATCTGGCGCAGAGCAGATGTATGGTCAGAGGCGCTTTTTTCGGGACGGAAACCGCAATGTTCTTCTTGCTTCTTGGAGTCAGTCATTCCGTGGCACCTACTTTCTGGCGCCTTTGCGCACACTTTATCTGAGAGGATCAATAATTTAATGCCCAATAACTGGAGTACTACTTGTGGTCTTCCATTTTGAATATGGGTACAACAACTTCCATCCTCAAGTCCGCCGGGGTCTTTTCCCTAGTCATCTCAGTTTGAGAGACATGTGTAAGCCGGCACATGTCTTGTTCGCCAAATGCCATGAACATTTCAAGGCGGATTTCATCACTTCCAGCAGCCTTTCCGTATTTGAAGCTTTTCACAGCTTGCGTAAATTCATCTACAGAGATAGTAATGCCCGTTCTTTGCTGCTCTACATGCGAGTCTTCCTGCGGTTGCGCGGAGTTAAGGAGTTCCTCAAAAACTCCTTCCATCGCTGAAGAATGTCATCATCCTTGGTAAAACCTGTTCTTTAAGACTCTGAGACCACCCTATTTTTCTACTCGAAGCCGGCGGATGGTTTGCATGAATACCTCGTTTGCCATGTAGAAATTCAACTCCAAAACTTCACCGAACTTCTGCCAGGAATCAACTTTGGCGTTCGCCACTGCTTTTGCTGCCACTCTGCGTTCCTCGACACAACGTACGCGAGTTGTGTGCTGTTTGTTTTCAAGCCATTTCTTGAACGCTGCTTTCTGATCTTTAACTGCAAGTTGAACCTCTCCTGTCCACCATGAAGTTCTTTACTGATTCCAGGTGGCAGACCAACCAATTCCGCAGCATTCGGCGGCAGCCTCGAGTATGTCGCTCTTAAAGAGCTGCCGCTCGGTTTCCACATAGGTCGTCATCAGCGAGATCTGTTCAATCCGCCGTGCGATGTTATTTGTAAATTTCGCTCTCATGTCCACCGAAGATAACGTTTCCCATTTGATTCTCTGGTTACTTCTGCCACCTGATCTTCGTATTGTACTCCATTTGTTGTAGCGTAGCGTGCCAACAACAAAGTGATGATCGTTTTAGAGCTCTACGCCTCTTTAAACGCGAAGATCCATTACCGAGCGTCATAAGTTAGACTATAAAATTATCAAATCGATCATCGACTTCTGTGCAAAAGTTTCCGCGTACCAGGCATACGGATGCACGCTTCGATCCTCGAAGAATATGATTATAATAGAACGTCTGTTGTTTGGACGAAATTGCAAGATTTGATAGGATACCGTTGTTGTTGAAGTTACTATTGCGGTTCTTTCCAATCACTTGTTTTCACTTCGGTCTTTGTTCCGAGATGCGCGTTAAAATCGCCTATAAAAACGAGGGCTCTGTAGTCGGCACTTTTTATAGACCACTCAACTTCCTGAATAAAGGACTGATATTCTCCCACAAAATTTGGGGCAGAGACGTGTTATAAGGTGAACGCTTTAGTTTGTTATAGCTTCATTGGGAGGATTCCTATCTTTCGGTTGATAGACTTCCAGTCGGTGATTCTATCAGCGAGATTGAGTTCTACCAAAACACCAACACCGGCCT